TTAATTTGTTATTGGTTTTGTCTCTAGTCTTGTTTCAAATCTAATGTCTTCCTTTCTTATATGAATTTGTCCTTTAGTCACTTTTCTTCATATTCAAAAAAAAAAAAAAAAAAAAAAATCTAAAAAATCTAAAAAATCTAAAAAATCTAAAAAAAAATCTTACATATAGTTTGTATAAGTGCATCCATTCAAATGGCCTTATATCTCTTTATGTGCCCATCCATCTACGAGTTCATCCAAAAACATTGGCTAATTATTGACTCAATTAAGAGTCCCTATAAATAAACAAAAGGCACATAGAGACACAACATCAAAGATTGATACCAAGAGCCACATCTTATACACTTCAGCACTATTCTATACTGTCCATTTTTTAAAAGACACATGACATTGTTTTCTTTAAGTTGTCTTGTGGTGATGATATGTTAAATAAAATAAAATAAAATGTCAAACAATTAATATCCAATTAATGAGCATGTAGAGTACTATTGTTTTAATGTTACTTTCAAGGTAAATTAAGATATTCATATGAAAAAATAATATATATATATATATTAGGATATTTTTATATACTTATTAAAAGATTTATAATTAAGATAAAAGACTATATTATTATTATAATAAAGTTTCAAAATAAACTGTATATTTTAATGCAAACATCTTAATATAGTAAAATGAAAATATAATAAATATATATTCTAATTTAAATGTATTAAAATAATCATACAATTTTTTTATTGTTAATGTTTCTTTATGCATTATGCATATACAAAGTTAATGTCAAACCAATTATATTTGTTGTATGTAAAAGTAATAAAAAGTTATTAAAAATATTTTTTTTTTAAAATAATAATAAATATATTAATATATAACATATTTATTTAATAAAAAATAAATCCTTCACATATAAAACATCAAAATAAAATATTTGGTTGTTGGAAATAATATAAAATACGGAATATGAATTTTAATTATATGAAAAAATTATAAATAATTATTCATTTATATATATCAAAATATATATATATATATGTATATATATATATAATTTTTTTAAGATGGTATCATCAAATAATTTAAATTTAAAAAATGGAAAAAAATAAATAAAGTTTAAAAACAAACACTTATATATATATATATATATATATATATTTATGTTTTTAGTTTCAAATTGATTCAAAAACTATTTTTAAATTTTATAGATGATTAAACAAAGTTATTATTTTATATTAGAGGCCTAATTTAAACAACATTTTGTTAGTAAAATAATTACTTATTTTTATCTTAAGATAAATAGTCAAGATTGTGCAAAACATATCATTCATTTATAAAAAATAAAAATAATGGTTTTAGTATTATTAAGTATTTCAAAAATAAAATTCTCTATGTTCTAGTTGAAAAATTAAAATTTAATAAGTATTTAATATTTAAGCATTTATATTAACAAAAATAAATAAATATGATTTATAATGGATATTAAAAAAGTCATATATTTTTTTCATATTTTTAAAACTATTTTTATCAAAGAATTTTAATTATATATATTCATAAATCGTAGAAACTATATCAATTTTATCAAAATATCTATTAATAATTTTAAATAAAATATGTTATTTATTTGTAATTTATAAGTTTTAAAACTAATTTGAATAATTTTTATTACCATCACATAATTAGTTGGTTCGTTTATTAATATCCAATCCGAAAAATGTACCAAAGCAAATCAGAATTAAGCTTAATTCAAGTATTTGAAACTATATATATATATATATATATATATATATATATATATATATATATATATATTGTCATAATAATTAATAATAATGATGTTACGAGATGTATTTTAAAATGTTTTAACTAAATGAACGAATTTTTTTAGTTTTGATTTTAAAAGTAATAAATGCGTTTAACTTTAAATAGGTTTAGTATTTTAGAATTTTGTCTTATTTGTGTATGTATACATATGTATGTAATAAAATCAAAATGTACTTATATTTATTTATAGAAAATTCAAAATGATTGATTTTTTTAATATATTATAAGTATATATATATATATATATATATGCATACATCATTGAATCAGCGTTCAAGTAATTATAAGATTCATTAGATTATTGCATGTATTTGAAAACAGATATATATATATATATATATAATATGGTGGTTAATCTATTATTTGCAATATGTGATTATGTTGTGTTGCAATGTTAAGCTTTACAATGCTTTGAAATTGATATTTTAATTTTGTTTTTGGATTATGTAATTTAAGTATTTTTTCATTAAGATTTTTAAAAATATGTCTTATTATTTGAAATTAAATATTTTTGATATTCTTATAACAAAATAGTTTTAGAAGTCAAATTTAACATCTTCACTCTTTTGAGGTTTCAAATATATGTGATGTTGATTATATGCTGTTTAAACAAAGTCTACTAAAAGAATCAACTTTAGCAATTAAATTTTAAACTTTATATTCTTTGATTTGAATAAATAATGAGTTCAATATCACAAAATTAATTCTAACACGCATTTACTTATACTCAAAAAAAGAAAAAACTGTATTAGAATTTCACCAACAATTCTCAATTTGAACAAAATATAATTATATTTTACATTCTTTTATTTTACATTCAGCATATTTTATATTAATTTAATACAGCATATTTTATATTAATTTAATACAGCATATTTTATATTAATTTATTGGATACTAAATTTATCTATTATTGATATCGAAATATTTAATTATTAATATTTTAAATAAACATTTCATGATCTTGATCTGACCAAAATTAAGTTTTAAATGGAAATGTCCATCAGTTCTTTTAATCTTTTTCAATTTAATCCATATATATATATATATATATATATATTTTTTCTGTTTATTTTACTCATATAAATTTATACTTAGAATAAATAGTATGTAACATTTAACAAAAAGTGTTAAAAGAAGTTACAAATTGGATTCTAAACTGTGTTTTAAAATATCAGATTTACATGCAAAATGATAATCAATTTCTAGAAAAAATAGTATAACTGTAAAATCATATTTATTCCTGGAATTAGACGTCATGTTGTAAAATGTGTATTTTCATATTTATAGTCAAAAATCTGATAATACAAATTTTATCCATTCAAGTCTATTTAATTAAAAAACGATAACAGTAGTTTCCAATAAATTTGATGGAATCTTTAAGATTTAATTTCCTAAAAATATATTTATGTGTTAGATTTGTTTCTCTATATTTATAAATAATGTAGGGAACAGAAAACTATAATATAAATATACACATATACTATTTTTATTAAGAAAGATAGGAGAATTTAAATTTGTTTTCATAGTATCATGAAAAAACAAAACAAACATTTAAAGTAATGAGTAAGAAAAGTTAGAGTGTTTGAAACTGTAATGTACTGAAACAATAGAGAAAGAGAATAATAACATCTATTTAAAAATATCCAGCATTTAAAAAACACGTTCAAAAATTTGTTTTTTATGAGAAAATAAATAAATAGTAGGTCAAAATCTACAAAATATAAAAACAACAAGATTCATTATTTTAACTACTTATACATCATATGAGTACATTTTAAATTACACGCACTGAATAATGATATAATTAGTGCACATTTTCGAGCTTAGAATCAATTAATATTAACAAATAAATGTTAAACATGAATGGAAATCATACTTATTTTTGAACAAACTAGCAATACAACTGAGTGAAACCTGAATGACAGTTTTGAATGAAGTGACCTTCAGAATTTGCATTTATTTATTAGATAGTTAATACACTCAACCTAAAGTATTCATATAAATAAATAGATAAATAAATAATTGTACCTATTGTTAAACACACATAATCGCTGGCAGCATTTAACAACAAATGCTTTCTCAGGAAGGTTAAAACTCTTTTTCACAACATATACCTCTGACTCATCCACAACCATTACCTTCATCCATTATGATTCACGACAAAAACTAAACCATTCACATCCCCTATTTCTCTAGCAACCAACGGCTTTACCAACTTAACAGAAGAAAAAAGGCAGCGAGACAAAAAATAACTTCAACAACAACCCACAATTCGGAACGAGCAATCACGAGAGCACGCCACAGGAAAAGCAAAGACACAACGGGGGGGGGGGGGTTGTGCAAATTCGTTGAAAACCCAGTAATTGCATTTTCTAGAAATAACAAATATATATTTCAAAAGGGATCCGGGATCATCCCAAATTCAGTCCCCCAGATCCCGAACCCCCATTTGACATGTGACTTGATAAACATGCACGAACGCACTCACACACGACTATCGGACCCCCCCCCCCGCGAGCACCTTCCATCCATCACCCAACCATCCACCCCAACATTCATTCATTAATTCATCCAGTCACAACACACGCAAAAGCTCCCAATCACCACGTATACATCCTCTCATCATTCATCCATCCGATCCCATCTGATCTCATTCTTCCACCCTATCACCGTGTAGAAATTTACCCTCACCTCTCACCTTTCACCACCACCCTGACGAAGCAGGGCAGGGTGGGGGAATCTACCAGGCAGGCAGGCAGGCAGGCAGGTAGGGAAGGGAAGAAGAAGAAGAGTTACCAACCAACCAACCCATTCTTTAACTAACTAATTAATTAATTCATCAATTGATTAGTTAATTAAGTGCTCACTCGCCAGATAAACCCCCACCTCCCTTCCCACTCCCTTTTACCGCTCCCGAAGTGGGGTGGGGTTGGGGGTCGTCTCATTTTCTTTCTCTGTCTCTCTGGACCAGTCCCACCCAGTCAGTCCAGCTCGGCCGGTCGGTATGTCCAGAGAAGGGGAAGGAAAGGGGGAAGGGCAACGGAAGGGCAGGGCAGGGCAGGGCAGCAAGGGATTACTACTACTGCTACTACTACCTCTGGTCAGGCTGCTGGTGAGGTATCAGCAACAGCGATGAAGAAGACGACGACGACGAAGAGAAGGGGGAGAGAAAGAAAGAAAGAGGAAGATGGAGAAAAGAGGAGCCAGGGAGGGCTTGGCTGCCTCTTCTTGAGCCTGCACTCCCCCTCCCCCGTCCTCTCCCTTCTCTCAGCCTGACTGACTGACTGACACTCTCTCTCTCTCTCAATGTGTTTCAGTGTGTCTCTCACCCACTTCTATCACTGATACTTGCTGCCCTGCCCTGCTCTGGCTGGCTTTGGCAGCCCCACACCCACTCCACCCCTGCTGTTTTCTCAACTCTCTCTCTCTCTCTCTCTCTCTTCTACTTTCGTCTGGAGCTTGCTTGCTTGCTTGCTCTTTCCTCTATCACCATTGAGGGAGGAGGGAGGTCCCACTTGGGTCGGGGTGTCTTCCCTTTTCCGCTTGTCCCGACGCTAAGCCCAATCGGTCGCAAAGTGGGTTGTTGCTTGTGTCGCAATGGATGCGTAGAGAGTGAGTGGGGTCCAACTGCTATCATTCAAATCACTGTCAACTCATACACATTGGGGTGGTGTTGGAGGTCTCTTCGCAAGGAACGTGAATAATGGAGTGTGGGGATGTTGGGGAGTGTGGTGGTTTGTGAAAGTGGCGATGCAGTGGGAGGGAGGTGGGATGGGGCATCGTGGGCTTGAGTTTCGTGATTTGATAGTGGGTGGCGATGATGTGGGTTTGGAGTAGAAGGGGAGAGAGCGAGAGAGAAATAGTGAGTGAGTGGTAGAGAGGAGCCAGTGTGGGTTTGTATCTCGATCCGAGGGTGAACGGGAGTTTGGTCGTCGGAAGGGATTGTTAGTGGGGCTGTGGACTGCAGCGTGACGGTTGGAGTTGGGTGGCACTGTTGCAACTGATCTCTGGCGCATGGGGAGACAGGGACACTATATTTCGGGAGCTTCCTGAGGGGAGCTGTTTTTTTGGGGGTCAACTCGTATGAGGCAACATTCATCTGGAGAAAGATGACCCTGGGTCGGCATTGCACTGCGGGAGCGACACCGCTGGTGTCGAGGGCGAAACCTAGTCTGAGGTAGATAAACAGGCACAGGACAATACTTCTGTGATTCCTGTGTTAGGTTGTGGATGCTAAAAGGAAGGCTTTGCTGGCTACTACTACGTCGTCGTCATTTCAACACTAGGACACTTCATAGTTTCAGCTTCACGTCGTCTCTTTCGTCACTAGATCTACGACTACCGACCAACTGTGAGGCGGTTAGTTACTTCTTGGTGCGACCTCCCGAACTCAGGTGGGTGGCTACTTGTAGTGGATAAGAATCTGAGGACCGAGACAAGCAAATGAACATATTTGAAGAGCTTCCTTCTTTGTGGTATTGGAAGTTACAACCTGGTTTCGCAGATTGCGAACCGTTTGGGAATGTGGGCTTTGATAGCCAGCCGGGTTTGGAATCTGTTGGTCTTTATCTTAGTCATTGGGTTCCTTGCGTGAAGCTCGGTAGCAGTGATCATTTTGTGAAATGCACTTTTGGTCCTCTTCTGGGTCCTTGGAGTCCCTCTTCAAGGAACACCTCCACTGGGCCATGTCGCTGCGGTTGTGGCTCGACCTGTAGTTACGGTTCATCGCCCTGTGTGTCTCGGTAGTGATTTGGGGTAGCAGGTAGTTTGCATGTGGCATTTGGCTCGTGGAGTGTAGGTACTACCAGTAGGCGCTTGTATCACCCCGTTTCTTATTGTATTGGAATGTGTAGTTTTTGCTTAGTCGAAACGAATTCGACTGGCTTTGTCGTGACGCCACTATTTCAGATGATGCTTCCCACACTCTCGAGAGCCAGATTCTGTAGATACTTCGAAATCGTACATCTCTGACATCTTCACGTTAATCTTCCATGGATTTTCCTCATTGTGGCGTCGTCTTGCATGTGTAGCAGGTGATGACTCATGACATAGATTTGGTCCCAGCATACAGAAGATCTATGTACAGGTATCACTTCTTCCTCAGTGCATAGTAAGTCACTGCGAGTCTCGAGTAGGTGTATGGTCGTCCATGAAGACCTCACTCATTTGACACTCGGTTTTCATTGCTAGTCCTCTAGGGTTGATTGAAAATTTTGGTTTCGCATTCAATAAGGCAACATACGTCTCAACAGGTGAAAAGTCCTGGACTTTGGATTCTGAGGGATTGAACGGCGGGTGTTGAGAGGAGTGAAGATGGCGTCAAATACCGTGACAAGCGAGCTTTCGAAGAAGACCAACATCTTCGGCTTGAAGCTGTGGACAGTAATAGGAGTATGTGTTGGTCTAGTAATTATTGCTACTCTCTTTCTACTGTGGCTATGGCTGTTATCGCGTCGTAGGCCAAAAAAGGACAAGCTCCCGTTGCATCAGGTCTCAGATGCAAGCTCCAAAGAAATTAAGGATGTTAAAATAGACAGGGTTGGCAACACGTACCTCCCGCCGCCGGATCCAGTTCTCCTTACGATCAGCGAAAACTCGGGTGAGAAGGATTCTATGGAGAAGGGCGTGGTCCATGTAGGAGATACAAAATCCTCCAGCTTCAAGAATCCCATTGTGTGGAAAGGGGATAGAGAAAAGACGGGCTACGCAGGTGAAGTCATCATGCAAACGCAGGATAACACTATCGAGCGACATGACAAGCCCAGCTCGCTCAAATTTGAAGCGAACCAGGAGAGGGGCTCGTTTCTGAGTCTGTCAGGGGGCTCCGGCTCTACCCGGAGCCTCGACTCGCCTGTCTCTGCAGTCCCGGAGGTTTCCCATTTAGGGTGGGGCCATTGGTACACCTTGAGGGAGCTCGAAGCTGCCACAGATAGCTTTGCCGATTCTAATGTTCTCGGCGAAGGTGGCTATGGGATTGTGTACAGAGGCCAGTTGCCCGATTCCACCTTGATCGCTGTCAAAAATCTACTTAACAACAGAGGTCAAGCGGAGAAGGAGTTTAGAGTGGAAGTGGAAGCGATCGGACGCGTTCGACACAAGAATCTCGTGCGCTTGCTGGGGTACTGTGCGGAGGGTGCTCACAGGTGAATGTCATCCCTTCTTCCTGCCCAGTTTGTTGTGTGGTGGCGCAGCTCCTTGATGTTCTTTGTTGACCTCGTTTCTGGTGGCTGTTGCAGGATGCTTGTGTACGAGTACGTGGATAATGGAAACTTGGAGCAGTGGCTGCATGGACCTCTGTCCCAAACAAATACACTTCCATGGGAAGCCCGCATGCGGATTGTCATGGGTACTGCTAAAGGGTGAGTAAGCTGAACTGTGTGTTGCTAGTAAGCTTTGTCTTGTGGGTCTTACTACAATTTGTCCTCGATGATTTCTTTAATACTAGAAGGTTATTCGAGGCACTTGTAATCCACGTTCTACCAATAGATTCCTGAGGTTCACTGATAGGAGCGCAATTTTCTTCCCTTTCCTTTTTACGTTTGATTTGTTTTGTTTTGTTTTGTTTTTTTTTTTTGTTTTTTGTTTTTTTTAAATGTGCATTGTGACTTGTGATTAGGTTGGCATATTTGCATGAGGCTTTGGAGCCGAAGGTTGTGCACCGTGATATCAAATCCAGCAACATTCTTGTGGATGCGCAATGGAATGCTAAGGTGTCTGATTTTGGACTTGCCAAGCTTCTTGGCTCTGGCAAGAGCCATGTCACCACGCGTGTCATGGGAACTTTCGGGTAAGCGTAAAGTATGATTTATTGCCTCGTTGTAACAATAATTGCAGCTAGCAACGGTGACAAGTATTTGTTTGTCTTTCATGGTTTTCTCCTTGAGTCGTTACGATGGTTGTTTTTGCAGGTATGTAGCCCCCGAGTACGCGAACACGGGCCTGCTGAACGAGCGAAGTGATGTGTACAGCTTTGGGGTGCTTCTCATGGAGATTATCACCGGGCGAGATCCTGTGGACTACAACCGTGCTGCTGGAGAGGTAAGAGATTCTGGTCACAGAAGCCATTTACGGGCGAAACTTTCTACGCCAGCGACACTTCGTGTGCAGTCTTAAGGGACTAGCTTCCTACCATGTCGCAATGTGTAACATATATCGAATGCGTGGTGCAGATCAACTTGGTGGACTGGTTGAAACAGATGGTGGGCAATAGGCGCTCAGAGGAAGTGGCAGATCCATGCATGGAAGTGAAGCCAACTTCGCGAGCCCTGAAGAGGGCTCTTCTGGTAGCCCTGCGGTGCGTGGACCCAGACGCTCTGAAAAGACCCAAGATGGGCCATGTCGTTCACATGCTTGAGGCCGAGGAGTTTCCCTTCCGTGATGTACGTTCCATCCCCTTCGTCTCCTTTGAAATCTTTTTCATGATTCTTGAATGCCGCCCATCCAGTGACTCATTTTACTTATCTCACCACTCCCCACTTGTCGTGCAGGATCGGAAAGCTGGGTCCAGCCACCCCCGCTCCCACCGCACGGAGGCTCAAAACCAGGAGCGGTTGCTGCAACGGCTTTCTAAGGGGCATCCAGCCGATGTCGACAGCGATAACTCCGTCGACGACAGCCCTGCTAACCGGAACTTCGTAAGACGCAACCGCGCGTACGAGAATCTGGCCACCAGCTCACCTCGTCGTTACGAAGGGTGATAGATGGGATGCAATCACACGACCACATCAATCACAATTCTCCATCAACCAATCAATTAATCAATCAGTCAGGCGAGCGAGGCTATTCTCTTTGTCGATGAATCATCCCCGCTTCACTGTTGTCCGCCGTGTGCAGTTGAAGACCCGCCACCACCCGTTTCAAGTCAGCCTTCGAGATTGACACCATAGTTGGCCACTCAGCAATCCAATTCTAGGGGGTAATGGGTAGTTGGGGGGAGGGAGGGGGAGGAAGTGTCCAGATGTAAGTAATATACATTGACTGTACTTTTATAGGAATCTCGGTGTCGGAGGGGGGAAAAGAGTTGGTTGTGGACTCCGTATACAAACTTCGAGTAATTTTACAGGCCTTTTTTGTTTTATTCTCTTGTGTGTTTTTCGTTTTGTTTTGTCTTCTGCTCTTGTTTTTCTTCCTTCTGTGTCTCTTCCTCTTCCTTGTGCCCCCTGTCACGCTGAAGTTCAGATGCTCAAAGGCTCAGCTCATTCGCATGCTTCAAGAAAGTGGCATAACACTCGAAATTTTTTCCAGTCCCTGAACTCCATCACATCAGGAAGTTCGTAGCTTTTTCTTCTCACGCTTGAAAAAAAACACTAAGGAATGCTCTACTTGCTGTGGGTGTTAATTCTATCACTACTTCGACACGGGTTGCATCCTAATCATCCAGTTACACATGTCAGGGGAGGAAGTGGCAACAGTAATTGCTGCTTCACAATCACAGTTTGCATGCTGATACCCGTTGGATGGGCTCAGTGTTTTGGCGTGGTGATCAAGCATAGGTTTTGACTTCACGGCAACCCTTCACAGAAGATGGGTATTTGTGTGGAAGCACTAGTTGCTGCTGCTGCAGCAGTAGGATGTAGGAAACAGTAAGAATTGGGCGTTGTGAGTCTGTCAAAATCGAGAGAGAGAGATCTGAGGTGGGGGGGGATGATTCTGCAGGCTGGCGGTGTCATCGCCGTGGCCCTACAAGTGTGTTCTGGTCAGGAACAGGCTTTTTGGTCAAGCAGTTGTGCAACTTTCATGGTTGACGTCTCCACAGCATTGAACCTCCATGGTCAATGATCGAAGTACACAAGCACGGCGTTTTCAATTTTGAGTGCGTCCCTTTCACCTACAAATCGGCTTAAGTTCACAAGAATGCCAAAAAAAAAGAGAATGGAAAAAAAATAAAATCTCTTCAGTACAGCAAAAGGTGTGATTCTTCATGGTGAATGCGTTCTTTTCTCCTTACTTGAATATCAGAGGGTGTTAAAAGTTAAAGTTAGAATGGAAGAAAAAGTTTTGAAGAATTCTAAAAGCTTGAAGAAAAGGGAGACATGTGTCGTTCACAGAAGGAAGGATTAATTGAAAATAAATCATTTGTTCATCATTTAGAATTATATTTGGTGTCCATCACCTCATGGGTGCCTCGTGGAACTTCCTCTACTTTTCAACCACTTTGGTGAAAGCAAGCATCATGGCTGGCACTTTAGTTTAGAGGTGACAATGGTATCCCCTCTCTTGCAATTTTTTGCCTTTTTATACATTTCAAATGTTCACTATTAATTAGAATTAAACATTTAGGTTAGAATATGTGTTAATTGTGATTTTTAGAGACTACTTACATAAAAATCAACGACATTAAAGAATCCAACTTGTGACGCCTTAAGTTAGAAGATAAATTTAGAGTTCGACTTTTGATTTTGGTTTTTAGAACCATTCACATGACTTAAAAACCAAAACAAATAAGCTCCTAATTCTAGAAATTGAGTCTGTGGTTGTGAATTATGTGTCTTAAACACACTTAACTTGTACCAACTTGCATTGAACTTATTCTTTAGGATTATAATTTTTCTCTTATAATTACTGGTAGTGTATTTCAAATAGAATATTAAACAAACAATTACAATGAGTAGTTAAGAATCTAATCTTTGTTGTTGCTTACAAGGTGCTAGTAATTATTGCTGTAAGTTTATTTCTAATTGGATAGAGGTCCATTTGCCTCAGTTTGAAAAAGATTAACAACCATCATTTTTTTTTTTTTTTTTTTTTTTCCAATATCTAAATTTGAAAGAGGTACATGTATATTTATTCATAATTTAAAAAGAAGTAGTAATAAGTGCTATCTAGTTTGAGTTTGTGAAATATACATTCTAAATGTTTTTGGAAGGATGCTTTAACAATATTTATTGCAGATTAATTAAGCATTTTCCATATACTGGAGTATTTTTCTTTTTCTCATGCTACCAAAACGAACTCTTCACCTTTAAGAATTTTATTGTGTTATAATTTTAGGATGAGCCTAAAGGTCATTGTCTCCATCTAAAGTTGCCATCCTCAGTTGTCTTTTTCTAGTTTTAATAAATAAATAAATAAAACAAATTTATTATTGATAAAATTGAAGGCCATAAAAGCAAGTATGTGTTGCCATTTAAGGAAATCATTGTTACTATAATGAAATGACAAGTGGAGGATTTTAAGAATTCTTAAACCTATTCTTCAACCATTGGTTAATATGAGTTTTTTCAAAAAATACTCTCCAATGTATCCTCATGCCTTTGACATCCACAATTATACGAAACATTTCCAAATCTTTAGGAAAACACAACTAACTTTTGCCACTTTTTTTAAACATTAGTATTTTGCATGGGGGAGGGGATGAGGAAGAATGGATGAGAACAGAGGATGAACCCACCCATCCATCCATCCTTCTCGAAAGAATAGAAAGGAAAAGAAGGTGGGCAATTGCACCCGCTTCCTCCTTTCCCTTCCCCCACTCCCGAAGTCAACCCCCCTCCCGTCCAAGTCTCCCCCCCCCCTCCAAGTCTATCTTCCCCGATCCCGTGGGAGGGGAAGTCTGGTGTGGAGAGGGTGTGGTCTTGGGGCGGGTCTTGCTGGCAGGCAGTCAGTCCAGTCACAAGCAGAGATGGCAACTGCGCCCCAATTATTTTGGGTGCTGCTTATTGCTCTCTCTTCTTTTCCGTCTTCTGCACTCTCACGGGCATCTCGCTCGCTCGCACGATCCTCCCTTCCCTCCTCTTCCAGCCACGCCCGTCACGGAGCCCACGCCCTGCATATTCACTCTCACAACGACGGAGCAAGCAAGCAAGCAAGAGCGAGAGGGAGGGAGGGGGGAGAGAAAGACTGAAAGAAAGCGAGATAGAAAGAAAGAAGGAAAGAAGGAAAGAAAGAGAGGGACGGGGGACGGAGGGAGAGACACCCTGAGGCAGCGCTATAATCTTCTGGCGTTCATGGGATGGATGGTAGGCAAAGCAGAAAGACCCAATGCAATGGGAATGGAATGCTGGTGGGAGCGCTGTCTCGCCACTCCGTCTCCCTCCATGTCTGCAGACTACTTTTAGGGTTCCCACGATTCGAATTTAGGGCTTGGATGACGAACTCATGCAATTAGGTGGTGCCCCTGATGATGATGATAATGATGATTACCATGTGTTATAGAATTGATGATGCAACAACATTATAAAAGTCATGGTGTTTGTCCAAACATGCCATTGTGTATCAACTCCCAATCTAGTAATTGAATAAATAAATGCATACCTATTGATTAATGTTCATTCAAATGGAAGTTTAGGCCAGTCCTACCATGCCAAATTAATTTGTTGAGAATTAACATCAAAATACCTTAAACCACCAACTTAGTGACTTTTTTCAATTTGTGAGAGTTTTTTTTTTTTTTTTTTTTTTTTTTGAATAATCATTATTATAAAGTTTTTGCAACCAAAAACTTTATAATAATGATTATTCAAAAAATAAGGTTCTAAAGTGTTGCAAAAAAAAAAGAAAAAAAGAAAAAAAGAATTGCCATAGTGGTTTAATAGGAAAAAATAAAAAAATGAACAAAGCCGTTTTTGCATTTGACCATTGAACCAAGTCATAGATTTAAGCAAAATAGTGAGTAATCAAAGCAAAAATTGGGATCATGAAGCCACCATATTAGCAATCACATAGATGGGATTTTGTACAAAATCTAGGCTTAATGAGCACATGCATGTGGGAAAGAAGTCATTACAATAATGACCAAAAACCATGGAGGAGGAGGTAAAAATTGTGGCCAGTTGCACATATTGCACATGTTAGCCTGCTTCAAATGACAAGAGTTCAGGCCCCAAAACCACTTGCTCATATCTCAAATTTACATGGAGCTATTCTAAAACTATATAAGCTAATTGAAAATGGCCAAAGCAAATTATTGATGAAAGAAGGCCTATTCCACAATAGAAAGTATATCAAACTTTTTTACAACTATGGAGGTTCTCACATGAGCAAAGTCTACACCCTTCTTCTTTTTGTCATTTCCTTCCAAATCAAAGCCCCATGGAATGCGTCTTTAATTTGCATTGCTTGTATAAAATATCCTCTCTAACATATTTGTGAATAGTGAAGTAAATTGTGTATGCAGCCTTATAGAATGCAAATAGATGTCAAATGGTGGAAATTAAGGGAGGTTGAAGTAAGAAGGGAAGCAAAAGTGGCAATTGATTGGTAAAATGTAGGATCCAAATGGTGATATTAGAGTAAAAAACTATGGCTTCTCGCAACTTGGTTCTTTGACACTTGCTTGGTTAGATGTTGTATCCTCTAAAATCATTGTTTGGCATGTATGTGTACTCTCCATTATCTTCCTTGTACAAATTCTATACCTCTTTGCCATAGCTCTAGCTTATTTGATTGCTTTCATAATTTGAGTAATGGTGGCCTCTTTTGCATGCAATTTCTTTGCACACTTTACCGCTTCTTATTCAGTAGCACAATATGTTTAGAAGGTGGCCTTTTCCATGGCCCATAACTTTCATTGTTAGATCTGCTTTGTTCATTCCACTATGTGCCATGCACTAGTTTCTCCTTGCTATGCTTCCTTTTGTTTTTAGCTTTTTCTTTTCTTTTCTCTCTGATGGTCTTTCTTTGCTTATAGAGCTTTGTCTCAAAGTCTCACTAAATTTTCTACTTTTTCATACTCACATGAGGAAAGTATAATGTATCTTGCAAAATCCACCACTAGATTATGTTGTTGCTAGTTGAATTAAGTAACAAAAGACAACTTCAAGAATTGTGTTATAGGCTCCTAGTCCTCTTCTTCAACTTCATCTCTTTTATCTTGTGCTTCTAGATTATTTGATTGAAAATTATATACAAAGAAATGATGGTTGGTGGTATTTAGTTGTCACTTGTTTGAGCTGCCTCTTATCCAAAGTAGCCAATTAGTCTGTGGCATCACTTTCCTACACTTGCTTCAAAGTGCCACCATCTTCAAAAGAAGATATGAAAAAATATGATAAAAACAATATGGTATTTTGCAATTATAGGATATAATTGAGTGGTTTCTTACTACTATTAGTTGTTGGTTCAAGGGTGTGATATAGTTAAAGGTATTTTGATGTTAGAGTTCATAAGAACAATCCATTCAAGGATGGTTTGTTCAAGAAATCTCTTATTTTTAAAACATGATTTGATAAATTAGCATGTGAAAAAATGTAATGGACTTTTTGCTAGCAAGTATCAAATTTTACATCTCTTATTAGTTAAAGATAGTTCTTAATAGTTGAAAAAAGCTTTTTAATAATACATAGTCTCTTTTGCTATTTATTTAGTCTCTTTTGCTATTATTTTTTTAATTCAGTGGAAGGCAGAATTATTTTTTAAAAATTTGGATTTAACTTCTACTTCCTATCTACCTACTTTTATTGAGGTTAGGAGTAGCAAATAATCATAGTAGAATAGATACCAAGCTAGTACTTGGTATTGGATGAACATAAAAGATAAACAGTTCTTTGTAGCAAAGTATTTTAATAAACTCTAAACCTTTAATTCTATCAATTTTTTTATAAATTATTTTGTATATTTTATTTTAAAATCCCACATTCTTAATATTGCACTCCTTCTGTCAAAGTTTAGGAACTCTTAATAGTTGGTTGCTAGTCAATAAGCTACCGAAAAAAATTAAAAGAAAATACATAATATTTATATTTGTACAGACACAAAAATGATAAATAAACAAAATAAAAAGGTTAGAGTGCAAGCTAGGTACTTGTTTTGTAAAATTGATAATAAACTTGGAGTAGAATCATCTGTCCATTGATGTACCTTCCAATCCTTATAAATATTTTTTTGAAGAATGATCTTTTATTTCCTTGTTTTGTATGGAAGATGTTTTGACAAACTTGTTCAAATTTTTTATATTAGATTATATTTCTAAATCATATAAAAATATTATGTGTTTTGATGTATGTCATTTTAAAAACAAAATGGACATATTATTTAAGATTAAATAGTTTGTATTTAAATTTAAGACTTGCATATTTTTATTAGAAAATTTGTAATTTTTTAAAATTAATATAATTTAATGAAACTTGTAGAAATATTTAATAACTATAAATTATTAATATAGTATTTTTAATTTTAATATTTATTTTAAAATATATAAAATTATAAATACTTTTATTTACATGATTATTCATTAAGCTTTTTAAAATGCTTATATATTTAATCAAGCATCAAAACTTAATTTGTATAATTTTGAGTTTATCATAGAATAATGACTATGATGTAATATTTTAATGACTATCTACCACCAAGACTAGTTATTATTATAAAAAATACTAATTAATCGCATAAATTCCAGCCAATCAAAGGAAATTTTTTTGTATCTTCTACTTCATAATCTTTGCAAAAAGCTCTATTTTTTTTTTTGTATATTTTAGAATTAAATGCTCATGCTTCACTCTGGTACTTATTAATAAGAAAAATTCTTGTTGCATATTCATTTAAAATAAAATTGGTTGTTATACTTAATTATATATATCCATATTTATAGATTGGAATTGATTAATGCCACCATTGTTGTATTTTGTATAAAAGAATAAGCTCAAGTCGGATCAAATGGATTATTGATGGTCCTGCTGTATAAAAAGAACTGTGGAAATGTAGGGAATTAATAATAATAATAATAATAATAATAATTTATTTTTTAAAAAAATCTTTGTTAATATATAGATGGTTACACAAACAAGACAATACATGTATGAAGTTTAAGATGCTCAATCACAATTACAATTTTGATTGAGAAAAAGTTTAAGAAATCAAAATAAAGAATGAATATAATAAAAAATGTATTTTATATTTCAGTTATTCAATCAATTAGAAAATAAAATAACATCATCATCGCTACTTTGGACTCTATTTGATTCATCTTCTTACAAATTGATGTGAGTTTTGAGTGTGGAATCATAAAAACATTGAACCGAGATTGTTTTAGAAAGTAAAAGAATGTTTGCAATTGGCATCTAGTTAATAATTTTTTTTATATATAATAATGTCATGGCAACAAGCAGTTGACGTTGCAGTGACACAAAAATTAAAGACATTACTGCTTTAACATAATACGATACACCTTCACAGTTATACACGTATATACATGCATACAGTAGTTTATAGTTTTAAAATCATGCAATTGCAAATATATTTTTTAATTAATTTTGATCTTTAGAGAAGAATTAAACTTAAAAATATAAATCACCATTAAAATACTAATAAAATTTATCTAGTACCTTAAATTTACTAAAAACACACCAAAAAATAATATTATAATTTTTTCAAATCTTTGCAGCTACCACTACATTCCTCTTCCAATAATGTTGCATTCTATTTACAAAAATACACAACATCTTATTGTAAAGATTGTCATATAACAAAGCCTTTTAAAATAAAAATCACGTGTTTTTATTATTTTTATAATTAAAAAAATCATTAAAAATTAAACAATACATTCTAACAAAATTTATTTTTACAATCCTTTTTTACATGCAAATATGACAATTGATATTGGGTTTACAAAAAAGAAGAAAATTGTATGCAGTTTCCAATATCAAATGTTACCTCAAACATAACATCACATAAATTTTACTAATATAAACTTTAAAGGCTCAATCCTGTTCATAGCAGAATGCATCAAAGTGAAGATTCATGTTCCAAATGCCAAAGGTGACATCAACTTTGATTGATATTAATTCACTATTTGTAATGGAATAAATCTCTACACATGAAATGAAGAACATTGATTATTAATTATCAAATAAAGGTTTTCTGGGTTGTTATTTTTCTAATAAGTTTAATCCTTCTGAAGTAATTTTTGTTATACACAATTAAAATTATTGAGCTTTCAAATATGGTTTAATGCATGACACTTGTTATCTTCAATACAAAACCACTTTATTTCTAAAATAAAATAAAATATAAATAAAAAGGGTTTTGATATTCATTGTATTTAGAAGTCATTTTGAGTAACCTTAGTCATGATAATCATTTTTATGTTTTCAGATCACACGTATAATTTAAAAACTTGCTTTCTTTGATAACAAAGAATCCAAACTTGGAAAAAGGTGATAAATATTGAAAGCATGATCAATAGGGTTTTGAACACAAAACTAATGGCAATTGATTCTACCATAGAAAATGACAATCTTATCAACAAAGAACGCAAATTATCTGCCTATGAGGTTGAAGCAGAAATTCGAAGATCTATGGTAAAATTGTGCTCTTATTCATTAAATCTTTGTAAAACAAAAATACAATCATTAATCTTATACCCTTTAAAGATTATTACAATAAATTTGCGAAAACATAATCCATTGAAAGTGTTTTATATTTTGTCTGTGAAGCTCCAAGTTGCACGCAAATCCATGTCTGAAGCACTTTCTTCTTCCAAAATTCAAAAAAAGAAAAAAAGATTAACTGATATTCCAATTGCAAAAAATAACATTAAAAATGTTGATTCCATTCAAGAGGATGAGGCATCCACTCATTCCGAATTGGAAGAAAATCAACAACTATTACAAGAAAAACCTACAAAGATCGAATGTGATCCATTGCAAAGATTACATCTAATTGGTTTTTTTAAAGGTCTTCTTGATCGTATCTCACTCCTTATGCAACTTCCTGGTGCTCTAAAGGTATATTTCTACTATTTAATTGTCTCAAATTCTTTTAATTAGTTTTCAATACCTATGTACATACATACATATATACAATGCTGGTGCTTCACTGGAAAGATATCATTGTACCTATATGCTGACTAGCTTTATTATTGAACAAATAATATACACATAAATTTATATAATTGTTTTTGGCAGTCTTCTACCATTCAGTAGTAAAAATGTAATTTATATCAGTAGATCCTAAGCATATGTATTTAGAGAGAAATGATTTATTTCAATTATAAGCTTTGTGTATATGTATGAATGTATGTATGTATATATATATATATATATATATATATATATGATTTTTAACAATTTTTCTAGATTGCAGATAGCCAAATCGACATTCAGCATCTTCCTGAAGGGAAAAAAATCTTGGAAGCAAAAAATAAAATTCTTGCGGCTGCTAATTTAATTAAGTATACATTACCACATCCTATTGCAGTATCAAAATTTCAAATTGAAGCAAAATGGCTTAAGTCCATTTTTGAAAAGGCCTTAGATGAGGTCTATTTCACATTCAAATTTAATGATAAATACCATTATCCTTTTTTGATTTTTGATTTTCTTTATATGTCTGTGATCCATGTTACTAAAACTTTTGCACATAAGTAAATCATGTTTCACACCATGTAGTAATTTATTAACAAAAAGACGTGATTTAATTGGTGGTAGTTTATGGATAATTTAAACTACTCTTGTCTAAAAATGAAAATTATTATATTACTAAGTAATAGTGTTGTGTGATCTAGATATTAATTTGATCTGTTAGTTGATTTATTTCTCTTATTAACTTCGGTTGACACAAATGAAACAATTCTTCTGAATTTTAAAGTAAAATAAATTTTATTCCTACATTCATTTAAATAGTGTTAAATACCACATGAAAATAGTAACTGCGTTTAGAAGCTCCTGTGGCTTAAATGTTCCATTGTATTTAATATGGACAATATCAGGTGGAGAAAAATTCTTCATTTGAAGTCATAAACAAGGTGTGTCACAAATTAATTTAAACTATATATATATATATATATATATATATACACACAAAAGGATATTAATTTAAACACACAGATGTATTGATAGATAGATAGACAGATACATGTGTGTGTGTGTATTAATATTCTTTTAAAATTATCCAAAAGAAAGTGAATTTTTTTTTGTTTAACAAGTGTGTGTTCTTGTTAGTTAGATAGTTTGTTTTTTTGTTTTTTTTTAATATTTTTTCATTTTGTTTTTTTAGTGAAATAAATTCAAGAAACAATTTAATAATTCACAAATGTGACATCTTGGATTGAAGGTCTAGTTATGATTTTTTCCATTATTTTCGAAAAGTAACAATGAGTTTCATAAAATGTGATTGCTCAACAATTAGACTGTGGAAGACAATGAGAAAAGGGAGAATGAGCTATTGCAAGCCATAGAGGCTATCAAAGATTTGAAATGGAAGACAGAAGTTACAAAATATGTCATGAAAGCTGAAGCAGAGGCTCATGTTCAGAATAAATTAGAATGGGCCAAAAATTTGACTACACATAAGAAGGTGAATTCATTTCATTGTCTAAAAATAGAGCAAAATGCATCTATTCACATGACATGAACCAATTAACAAAAAATAGATTTTTTCTAGTCACAAATAAAGCATCATGTAATGGATTAATAGGATTAACTAAACATATGGTTCAGACATGTTATTAAAATGTTTCAAAAAAAATTATAATAAGAAAAATAAAACAATGATAATCATACATTAATTCTTGTATATGAGCTTTTCTTTTTGGACATTATTGGTTGGTTTTTATAGTATTTTTGTGTGCAGGAACTCACAGAAATGCGCAAAGAGCAAAGAATTGCTTACAAATTCAAGTATGTACATTTGTGTGTGTGTGTGTGTGTATGTATGTATGTATTTAATAACTTAAATACTCATATTCTTAGAATTGAGTGTGTGTTTCTATTGTTTCAATGATGTGAATTGTCAAAAGCTATTGTGATCTGCCATGGTGCTTCATTTATGAGTACCAACAAAAAGAATTGTTCAACAAAGTTTTTAATACCCAACATAAGCATTAATTTAATCATGATTAATTTTCAAAAAGAATAGAGATACATTAATTAATTCAACAAACTCATCTAATTGCACTAATTCTACTAAATTGACAATGGCAACTAACAAATGGATATAACTGAAGAATGATTTAATATGTTTTTTTCCTAGACATTGTATATCAATCATTATTAAAGTGTATTTGAAAGAAACATGCAGCAAAAGCCAAATCCTTAAGCTATATAAGCATGAAAATAATATTCACTTATTTATGAGTACTATTATTATTTGAAGCAATTTGAAGAACTATGAAAAGAAAAAAGGAATGGGAGGGTAGGGCGGAGCAAGCATTAGCAACCGCAGACATTGCACGACGTGATCGTGAGATAAAGCTCACCAAAGCTCAAGCAACAAACTCTCAATTAAATTCCAACTTAGAAGTATTTCAAAACATTGAACTTCTCATTCTTTATATCTTGCCTCACTACATGCTTTAATTAAGAATCCTTGGCCATATATATATATATATATATATATCATGCTTCTCTAATATATAAAATATGGGCATGTTTGAGAAGAATAAAAAAATGCATGTTCTTATCAAGTTTTTGAAAAATATTTTTCTTAGAGAGAGAAGAAAGTGCACACAGCAATTGTGGATTACATGGGGAAACAAAACACTTTGTTGCGTGAAGAAGTCATTAATCTCACAGCAAGCCTTGAGAATGATACCCAATGCATGATATGGGCCATTGAACACATTAATGCACAAATTAAAATGAAGAAAGCCCAAATTGCCAACATAGAGCCCAAGTAATTCTTTTTTTTAACTATAACTATGCAAATGGAATGAAAATGATGAGGGTGATAGTAATACTTAGTCTAAACTTAGATTAAAATATAAAGCATACAAATTAGTATCAGTTCAAAAATATACATACTTACATTTTATCTTTAGATTTTACATAAAGTTGTGTTGGATTGTATGCTTGTTGTTGTTTTTTTCTTTTTTTCTTTGTTTTTTACATTAACCACATTTTTAACTAGACTATTCTTTTTCTAAAGACAAAATCTACTTCTACTGAGCAGAAATGGGCCAAAATATTACTAGTGTTTGAGACTCCTTGTTATTAAGTTACAAGGGAATCCTGTACTGATATTTAAAATTGGATTTATTCTTGCCCTATAATAAAAGTGACGCTTACTTAAAAAAAAATCCTTTTTATATTTGCAACTATAGGTATTTTAAAGAGATTGAAATTATAGCAAAGGCCAAAGCAGATGCTAATAAAAGACATGAGGAATGGTATGCAAACCAAGGATACAATGAACTAAGTTTGAAGGCAGCATTTAAGATTCAAAAGATATGGAGGGGGTATCTTGTTCGCCGCATTTGGCGCAAAGCTCTTAAGAAACTGCGCAAAAAGAGGTTAGCTGCAGCAAAAGGAAGTAAGAAGAATCAGGCGAAGAAGACCAAATAATAATAATAATAATAGTAATAGAATGAAGACAAGCAATTGCATTTGCTATGTCTATGTCATTGTTTGAGGATTTTCCACTTGATATGAAAGAGTAATCTTTTCCGAAGACATCAAAAGATGGGGTATTTTTTGAGGGGCTTTTTTTATCAGAAAAATATTGGTGGTAAAAAAAATGACATTTGGATTTCATTAAGTTGATTATCTTGAAAAAATCACACTATTTAAGAAAAAAATAAATTAAAGATTTAAGTTAAAAATAAAAAGGTGTTATAATTTTAAATTTTTATATACTTGCATATTAATCAAAGGAATTTTTTCACATATTCTATTTCTAAAAACTAGATGAAAAGGAAAAGATAATTCTTATGTGCATGTGTGAATTAAAAATATTGTTAATTCAAATTTGGATGGTTGCATAAGAAGTAGAAACATTTTGATGACAACAGGCGAGTGAATGTGATGAAACTTAAATCAAAATAAATTATTAAAAAGTTGATAAGTTGGTATTTATTCTTATTCTTGCATTCATTAAGATATGTTATTATCAATAAAATTATACCATGTAATTAAAAGGAGTAAAGAAACTATTTTTTATTATTATAATCATCAAATCAAAAAGTGATATTATTTATGTATTTCCAAATCTTCTTTTTTGTATATGTATATACACTCACATCATAAAACATTGAAGCATTTATCAAAAATATTAGTACCTAACAATTGTAAAATGTTATAATTAGACTTTTTTTTTTTTTTTTTTTTTTTTACTATTGAATCTTTTTATTAAAAAAAATGCAAAAAATATATAAAAAATAATAAAAAAAACAGCGAATAATATTATATATCTTGAAATGAATAATTTCTCAACTTTTCTAAACTTTTAACATGGTGTTATGAGAACCATTCTTTTCATTGCAATTTTTTTTTTTAATTATAAAACTTCAAAAATGTATACTATTGTTCTTAAAAGTTTAACTTGATGTGTTGCAATACTGAAATTGAATAAAATATTAATTAATTTAAAATATTTACTATTTCATGCTATTTTGTTTTATCTCTTAATGTACATATGAATGATCCAATGAAACCTTCATCAAAATCTTAACACTCTCATAATCTTAAACTCATGCTTTAAATTGTATTATTTTTGGACATATACACATGCCAATCATAACTCAAAGCTTATGACTGAATTGCCATCAAGTATCAAAACCACAGAACTTGCATCCCACACAAAGAAATTCTGAATGTATGCAACATTTGTCAAAAGGTTTAAAGACCTTGGCTTAATCATCATTTGCAATCTTGAATTCCTCTTAACCTCGTGCCATGCTATTATACTACAAATAGCTCTACTCAACGATTCATCTTTTTTTTGTTCTTCTTGTCCATTTTTATTTTTTATTTTAAAGTTTTGTTTTGCATGTAATATTTCGTGAATAGAAAGGACCCTTGAATGGAACACTTCCTCATGTGTAGCAACTCATTTGCTCCAATAGTGATGCTACTGAGAAGAGACACACTTGCAACAATAGTTCAAAATAGAGTCAAGTGTAAATAATTTGCAAGGATATCCTGTGTCCACAAGATACTGTGGGATGATGTGGAAGCCAAGCCAACATGAACCATGATTCACAAAACAAAGGCCTCAAACCTTTGGCAGCCTTAAAACACAACATGCTGCAAGCCTAAAACTGGGTCCCAAGTCAACATGCCTACACTATCATATTGTGAAAAAACTGCACACAAAACATGCAGGATTTGATGTGAGCTTGATAAGGTGAAGACTAGCTCCTTACCTGATGCTGTTGCTGCTGCAGCAGCAGCTATGGAGCTGATGCTACTGCTGGGGTGCTTCCAGCTTCAGCTACTTGGCATGGCTGTCATTGCATCTATTGCATTATTAGCTTCTCTCACCTTCACCAGCATTTCATGCTTTCAGAATGTAATGTTTGAGAATGCAATCTCAGTGGCATAAGCCTGTGATGCAGCCCTTATCTTCAACACCTTGTCTATATGCCCTTGTCATTCTAGTTGTAGAAACTCTGGCTTCCTCTGTGATGTTTGCTGTATCCCATGCCAATGCTCCCACCACCTCAGGTGGGTAGTGATGTAGATTGTATGCTCCCTTTGCCCTCCATGCTAGAAAGAAAATATGGAGGGTAAGAGAAATGGGAAAGAGTGAATTGAGGTGCTGTTATGTTTAATACTATGCACTAGAGAACGTTGTTTAACATCAAGCAGAACTTCTAGCAGCATTGTTTCTTTATATCAGACAGGAGGGCAACCATCAGGAGTGTGGGTGTTGGCCAAGGAGTAGCATTTGGATCCTGATCGAACCTGATTGATGGGGAAAAACATGAGCCCTAGCGATCTCCAGATTGACTGAAAACGGTGTTGTTTGATTGAAAGAAAGGTCGTGTAGCTTCCCAAGAGTTGTTTCTGCTTCACGTAGTCTCTCGAAACAGGTCTCATCGCCAACAAAGTTCCTCTCCTTGACGTGAAAAATTATACTGCGTCCCGTAGATGAGCATCATGCCTTCCTCAGTGATTACTCCATCGTTGGAAAGGGTTACGGTGTCCACCAATTTGGACCATTTGATGTTTGAGAGGTACCTGGTTTTGTGAATCACACAACGAGAACATTGAATTTCCCCATTGTAATCGTCCGCGTCTGGGAAGTTAAACCCAACAGCTCTGCATTGACCTTCACTCAGGCACTTCAAATTGGCGATTGTGACGGCCACCGACCGTGTCCGCACTCACATCTTACAGCATGCATTTAACTTCCATGCAGCAATTGATCCCGTAACCCTAATTTCTGTCTAGTTCAAAGCCACAACATGCTCACGAGGATCATAAAATCGAGAAGTGAAGAGCATAGTGAATTTGAACGATGCATGCACTGCATCGATTTCGACATCCTAGCTAAAAATCAGGCAGTGACGCCCACAATCCTTGCTGGGGCAACAGGATGGCAAAGTCCATATTCATGAAGGCTATACCTACAAATCTCGACAAATATGTGAGCTCCAGGATCAGAAAAAATAAGTACAACGAGCACGACTAAGAGGAGCATGAAAGGAGATGATGGACATTCAAAACAAAACTATTGTGTGCAATCAAAACATAAAAACAACCACTTGCAGAAACAAGTTATCCCAACCAAGCCTCATGTGCATCGACCTCCTCCTCCTGCCACCGATCCCAAACTCAACATCATGGAAGAGACAAAACAAACCAAGAGTGGTGGGAGAATTGACTCATCTGCATGCAAGCTCATCTGTGCAACCAACAACTCTCAACACAGCATTGAATTATAACATATAATCTAAAATTAGGGCTACTTGTTCATGATCAAGCCTTCATTGAAACCCAGTTTCAGAGAAACCATGACCCTAGTGTTGCTCATACATGCATCTCCTTTTTTTATATTTTACTTTTATTTATTTTTGTAGATGTTAATCCTAAACTCCAAACCCTAACCATGCACTGAAATCTAAATTCTGATTCACCCTAACTTCATACTTGTTAGTAGATATTTCTCCAATTTCTCTTTCTCAATGTTATTTTACATTAAACAAATGGAGTTTCGATAAAATGTGGTTCCAAAGAATTTTCTAGAACCTTATATGAAAAAGTGGTAGCAAGTTTTTTAAATGGCTCAAAGACAAAATATCACATTGTTAAAAGGTTTATTTTTAATTATAAAGTTTTAGAAGTAAGTTTTTGCATCAAAACAATACTTTTGAGTTTTTTTAATTTAATGTGTATTACTAATTTTTAAAATAAAATCAATTTTATTTACAACTTAAAAATAAAATTAACTACCAAATAAGATATTTGTGTCTTTATTTTGTATAAAAATTCATATTTTTAATTTGGAAAGACCAATTGATTTTATTTTATTTCGTGGCTATTAAAATGATTCACAAACAAAATATGTATTAAATACTAGAACTAAGATTGTAGTTTTTAAGATTAATTTCTTATCTTTATAAGTATTTTAGATAGTTTACATAAGTTCATGTTTAATTTTTATTTATTTATTTAACATGACTTTAAAAGATTTGGATAATTTTTAAAATAACTTTAAAGATAATTATAAAAGTTAACTTTTACCAATCTATATGCAATGGTCTTATTAATTACTATGCATTGTGTGCAATAAACCTTGTTATTTTAAAGGTGATTTGTTGCTTTTTGTTTTTTTCACATAAACTATTATATAATTCTAATGCTATGCACACCATCAAATAACTTCCTTAAACAGTTTAGTGGTTTATAGAAACTTTATAGAAATTTTACTTGAAAGTCTTTAAATCTTTCTAGTAATCTTCAAAAGAACACCAAAACCTTAATATGGTTATTTAATTCTTGTCTTTTCATTTTATTTTGTTTTTTAAAAAAAATCAACATAAATCTCAAAAAAATCACAAATTAAATGTTTAATTGCTCCAATCCAAAAACAAATAAAGAAGTTAAGTCCTTCCAATTTTTTTTAATTTAATTATTTAGTTTTTACTGTAGTTAATATATTTTAAACCTACATCACTATTTTATTAACATCCTCAATCCAATGTTTTGAAATAATTCATAAAGTCAAAAAAAATCAAATTCAAATATTTTATCAACTTCATAAGAATATAACAAAAGCCTGAATTTTATATGTTTGAAGTACAAAAGGATTTAAAAATACATACAAATTTAAAAACAAAAAATAAACCAAAAATAAATAAAATAAATAAAATAACAAACAAACAAAACATTTTGTTTAGATCTGAGTTGAATTGATTTTTTCTTTGGCTTAATACTTTTACAATACAATGTTAACAACCTTTATCTATTTCTATATTTCTTCTAAATTAAAAATTAATAAAATATAATAATTGATACATTACAATAATAGTACTACTTATTAAAAGAAGCATTATGGGTATAGATTATAAGAATTAAATATATATATATATATATATATATATAAATGCACGAATATTAAATCAACAATAAAGAAGATGGAATATAAAATTATTTTTGTTTTACTTTGGTTTTTGATAATTTTTTATAATGATTATTTAGATTAAATAATTTGATATTTGAAATCTAATCCAAACCAAATAAAAAAAAATTAAAATAATAAAAAAATAAATGGCTAAATAAAAAACACAGATTTGTTACAGAGAAGGAACAATTAATTTTAAAAAAAATTCAGAATATAATATTAACAAAAAAAACAAAAAAAAACAAAAAAAAACAAAACAAAACAAAACAAACAAACAAACAAACAAACAAACAAACAAGAGGCTATTATTTAACCTATTTAACATTTTTATAAATAATTGTGATTTTTATTAATAATATTCTTATCAACAATAATTTATTTATCTAAAAATATTCAAGTATAGTGCTAATGATATAAATAAAGTAGTTCTAAAAGAGACATTCTTTCAAGATGTGGATTTGAAAGAAAGAATAGGAATGTAAAAAACTATTTATATTATTTTATTTTATTTTACAAGTAAAGGTTATTTAGTCCTATTTTTTAACTATTTTTTAACTATTTTTTAAGTCTTATTTATATTTTATCTATTAATAATATTAATTTATTAATTAATATGTTATCTTCTAAGAATATTTTGAAGGCTTACATTGAAATCAAAAACTTGTAAATATCTTTGGTAGATAAATGACCAATTCAATCCATTGTATAGATCAAAAGATAAAATACATCACAAGAAATCTCTAATAAATTTTTATTAATTTAGATATGCAAAGGCATCAACTATTTAAGTTCTTTTTTGTTTAATTTGTTAATTTAAAATAAGGTAATATATCTAATACACAATAGATTATAGCATTGGTAACTTGTAAAATATTTAATAGTCATTTAGAATCCTTTAGGTATTTTTACTATTTTTCTTGTAAATTTTTTAAATTCCTACTATCTTTTTAATTTATTTTTATAGTCAATTAAAATTTTATTAGGAATCTTTTGTAGTCTTTATATAACCACGCTTAACCTTCAATGGTCTTCTAAAAGCTTCTATAGAAGATTTTTTAATCTATATGGTGTTATATAATGCTTAGCTTTCTAAGAATCTTTTATTAGACTTAGTTATTTTGTAACAAATAAAGGTACAAGGGATGCGTTAATCATGCCAACATAAGCTTTGAATCAATCAAAGTGCTAATCTCTTTTAAGTCTTATTGCCAATCTCTTATCTTGTTTTGTTTTGTTTTTTTTGTTTTTACACAATTTCCAATACTATAATCTTTTTTCTCTCTGTCCTTGATAATTATGATTAATTCTAGTTTATGATATTATTATGTATGTATAGATACCGATTGAAAATTAAAATTAAAAGAAACGTCTCTTAATAATTTTTATGTAATTTCATATTTTATATAAAATATGATTTAAATAATTTTGATCTATTAAATTATTTTCATTATATTAAAAAATACTTTTAATTTTAAATTTTGATTATTTTATATTAGAATCAATTTAATGAGATATATGATACAATAAACATTTCAATTTTGGATAATTCTTCATAAATATGATTAAAAGACCATTTTATAAATTTTTAAACATAACAAGACTATGTATATATATATATATATATATACACAACATCAAATATTTAGAATAATAGAATAGACGTTACACTTTATGATTGTAATACTCACTTCTTCGTAGTACAACTCAAAATCTCTTATAATACTAAATACTCTTGTAATCAAATCCAATACTTATCACACCAGTGAAACTTTTATTACATGATTTCTTTCAAATCATGATACCATCTAACTCCAATTCTTATACACAATCCTATAATTACACTTGTATAGATATCAAATGATCATAACAAAGAATTTACCCTTTATCTAATAACAATGTTATGGCGTTTCAATCTTGTAAATTCTCAAAATAATAGTATTTGTAAGAACAACCAATTGTCCATTGACTTTTACAACTGTTGACTCCTATGTCATATTGCGTTCCATACCTCTTTGACTTATAAAACAACCCAATCTTATCTTAGTATCTTACACTTTATCATATTAAATGTGTGTCTTCAACTAAGATATATCTTAACAAAATTCTAAAGAAATATCTTGAGTGCCAAATATTTACATACTTTTGTGTGTGTGTGTGTATATATATATATATATATATATATAATGGCATGATTTTTAGTTTATTCTTATCAGTATTTTGTATTGATTAAAATTAAAACAAATAATTTTATCATTGTAACTAAAATCTAAGTTGTTGAATAATTCTGTCCACTGTTTATTAACTAAACTTTCTACAAAACAATTATCTGATATACATCAGATCTTATTGCAGTAAAAAATAGATCCAGATTTGAATAAAGTTGCTGAATCTTCAACTTAGATCTACACGTAGAAAAAAATTCCAGAAAGGTGAGATATCTCTGTATTGATGAAAACAAAACAAATCAAATCAAAAAAATTAAAATTTCTTGGACAAGGATTAACCATTGATGCCATTTTACCCGGACATGTTAAATTGATCTGAAAACAAAAAAAAAAAAGAGAAAGAGAGAGAGGGAGAGAAAATCCCATTGTTTAGAGGATAAAATACAATTTTGTCAAGGTTAAGAAAATAATTTTTGTATGTTAATCTACATTCATGTTTATAATGGAAATAATATATACTAGTAAAAGAATTAGCTTATCTATTTACAACAGCAATTACGAAATTTGAAAAAACTGTAACTCCATATTTACACCTGTAATATCATGAAAATAATAATTTGTAAAAATATGATCATGTACCACTCAAAAATAAAACATGAAAAACAAAACAAAAGCATAGAAAATAAATAAATAAAAAGAAAAGAAAAGCCAACCAACAAACCGCAAAATCCGAAAATCAATGGAAACTCTAGAAATGTGCTAAAATCCTAAATCCTGAACTGAATCCAAATTCTTTATGTTATTGCAATTGCTGAGTGCCAGCATAGCACGCCCATAGTGGCCACGTGGCGGATTGGGCCACTTACTAGTGAGTGAGTGAGCTGGCACCGTTGTGCTTGCTCACCATGCCTTGCTTTATAATATTGGCATTCAGGGTTTAGGGTTTAGGGTTTACCCTAAACCTGTACCTCGGAACCAATTTCACACCTCTCGCAACTGTAGTAGTGATTACGAATATATCACTTCGATGCACGAATGGGCGTTAGACAGCTGTTTAATCACCAGGGATTGGCGTGAGCTTGGATGGTAGCAAGGTTTGTAGGTAGGTAGGTAGGTAGGTACAGGGTGAGACTTTAAGGGGACACTTGGTGTGAGTGGGTCCCCCTCAGAATGAAAAATGGGTCCTTGTGAAGTCAGTTGATTGGTTTTGGAGGGTGGCTT